GGAAGAGATAGTTCTCACCAACCAAGAAGATTCTGGTTAACTTCTCATAGTAGTTGGCCATCATCACATTCTTAGGTGGTCGCTTGCTGAGACTGAGCAAAGTGTGAATGTCCTCAACACTTCTGAAGGCCTCTTGCCACAACTCAAGTTCGACTGCAACATTTAATTGTTGAAAACGAGTTTCGAGATGGCGTTGGAGGGTATCTGGGTCGTTAAGGTTGATGGCATGCATTTGAGCGGAGTACTTGGCAGCAGTTTGAACATGGTTTCTGAGCAACTCGCACAATCGACGGAACTCGGTCTTTCTGGTGTATTTTTGGCAGAACTCGAACGCTTGCATGGCAGTGCTTTGGTACATAATCTCCAACCTGGCATTGTTTCGGAGGATATCGAGAACGGTTCTGTATGTCTCCCACAAGAATTTGAGCCATGGTGTAACGATGGCACGATCCGTACGATCTCTGGATTGTTCGCCAGATACTGTTGACAAAAGAATAGATTCAGGGGTCTCGGTTGCTTCCAAATCATCGACACTGGCGGTTGCTGCTGTTGTATCTAATGTTGATTGAACCTCATCTGCCTTTGCTTGCGCATTCTTTACTTTTTCTTCGGCCAACTCGATGAACTTCTTGAGAACGAGCTAAACGAAAATCATCAGCCCCGCACATGTGAAAATACCACCCACTTCTGCTTACCTCAATTGTGCCAACGTTGGTGTTCTGACTAATATTCTTGTATTGATATAAAGCGTCCTTTGCAAGTTTTCCCTTCTTTTGTTCAACGGACTGTTCCACCAATAAGAGCATAACAGGCTCCAGCGAAGTGATCGGGGCATTTCTCGATCTTTTCGAAGTAACATGTTCGTGAAGTAAGACCAAAGCTGCCTGGGATTGTCCAACACCCATCAACTCATGGGCGCGTTTGAGGACATTCTCAGGTTTCTGGTGAGGCGGAGGAGGCATGCTGGGCAAGCTCCTCTGCGAAGATCGCGGGTAAAAATTTGAGGTGGTGTTTGTTTGACGAGGCGATCTCCTGGATCAATATTTTCAAAGATAATGAAACTATCTTTGAAATAAAATAAATAAAAGATTTCCAGCCAGGTAAAATTATGAGGGCTAGGAAGGGTACTCCGACTTTGATGGATATCGAAGTGGGTTAAAATTCCTTAACAAGAATCAAGATAGCGATAATTTCATACATACAACAGAAGTCCTTCGTGTGCGAAAACTAATCCGAAAAAGGTTAAGCGTTATTCCTAAGGCAGCCAAATTTCCTCATAGGTGGTGAGATTTGAGATTTGAGATTTGAATGAAAAGTGGTTGAAGATTGAAGGGGGGGAAACAGAGCGGGCAAATTTCGCGAGTTAGATACAAGTAGTTAAATAGAGAGAATAAAGAAAATGAAAAAGCCAACCTTGGATTGTCTTGTCTTGTCTTGTCTTGTTCTTGTCCCTCCATTTCTATTTTATTATCTACAGGACTTGCAATTGCAATTGCTTATACTGTACTCTGTACTAGCAAGAGAGAAAAGAGAGAAACTCAAGTGAAGATACAAGTAATAAATAACCTATCTAATAATCACCCTTCCTGTCAATAATCACTCCAATAAATCTATCAATTATTAATTATACCTATTCACTTCTTTTAACTTTTATTTTATCTTTATTTGTATCTCATTTATTCAATTACAATCCCTCTTTTAAACGGGAAATAGCGAGCCGACGTACCCCATTGGAGAAGATTTCTAAATTAGACTTTCGTTCATCGTTCTCGACTTTAAACCTTCAAACCACAAACCAAACCCCAAACCACAGACAATACCACTCATACCACTCATACCACTCCTTTCAGATACATTACAACACATCAAAATTCAACCAATCCAACTCAATCCGATACCATACCAATCGATTTCTAATTATAATAAACAGATACAAGCTTCTGAGTATGTTTTGATCTTACCCACTTCTCCTTATCCTGTCGCAACATAAAGTTAAACTAATTTCCCAATCCAGCTCTTCCTCAACCACCAACCACACCGATTATACCGACCATACATAACCTTCAACATGCCTCAAGGTTATTCCTCTCGAGATGTTGGCGACCCATCCCAAGTCAAGAAGAACAAACAATCTATGGCAGATCTCAAATTAAGACGTCTTACTGAATTGAATAATCGTCTGAGGGAAGATTTGGAACGCGAAAGAATCCCGGTTTCTCAAGCTGCTAAGAGGTAATTTACTCATCACCTTTGAACTCCTCGATATTTTATATGGATAGCAATTGCTGACGCGCAATACCCATTTAGTATCATTCAATATACCAGTCAAACAAAAGATTTTATGGTTCCGTCAATTTGGGGTACTGTCGATAAGAAGGATGATCCATATGCGCCGCAACAAAGTGGTGGATGTTGTTTGGTGATGTAAGGAAGGAGAAGAGCCTCGAGATGTTCGAAATGGAACTCATGCAAACGACCCGACAACGACCACTCATAATTTCATCAACCACTCAATTCATAAATCCATTCACATACACCAATTTCGATACCGATCCTTACAAAACCACGTACATCACCACAGGAGAGAGAGAGAGCGGTAGCAGACCAGACTAAAGGGCGTTATTAGGGGCGTATTGGGAATATTTACATTCAGCCTTCTTCGACATTATTCCAGAAAGCCAAATGCCTCTTTCTTGGACCTTTCCATTACAGGCCTTTTCTTTTTTACTACGGAAACAAGAGAAGCATAGCATATTTATTTCACCATTGGAGGTATTTTTCACTATCAACTGGGGTACGGCAGCGAGCGGGTTCTTTCGATTCGATTGTATCTGGCGTGTATCTGCGTGCGATGTTCGAGACTTTCTTGATGAAATGAGAGGCAGGATAAAGTCAACGAGAAGATGAGAGGAGAAAGGGGAAAGGGAAAAGAAGCATGTAATATTTATTTTTTCGTTTCTGTTCGTAGTTGTTACACCTTTTCCCCCCAAACCCTTTACAATTACACCCTTCACACATGAATTTCTTTGTGCATAGGATTATCAATGAAAATCATTGGGAGGGGTATTTGCGAAGACATGTTTTTAAATGCAACTGTGACTGTGATATCTATCTATATTTTGTGATGTATGAGAATATGATTGAATATATGTATGTGGATGTGCATTTGAACTCACTCTCCTCTCTTCTCCATTGAACATCAATTAGTTTTGGGTTTGGGATATGTATGTAGGTATGTACGTATTTGTTTATTGGTATTACAGTAGAGTAGTATTGGAATTATTTGAGTGTGTGCATATACATTACATATACTTCACTACTACTGTTACCTATTGTGCTGGAGTTATGGGAGTTATGTATATCGCAATATAAATTATATACATCTAATCTTGAATGTTGTTACCAACCGGTCGGCACCGGGTATGTACCCTGCAGGACCCAGGACCGATAATGATTTTCCTTATTTTCTTTTTCTTTTTCTTTTTGCTTTTTTCTTTTGCTTTTGGTGATCATTATTTACCTAGTATCTATCCGGTGTGGGTGATGGATTACGGTACTTCTTCTGGTAAATCCAAGTATCTTGTGGCTGTGGCTGCGGTAGCCATCTCTCTACTTGAGCATATCCATCTCCATATCCATCCCACTTCCAAATCCAAATCCAAATCCAAATCCAAATCCCGACTGATCCAGCTCTTATTACTCTTGACAACTATTTCGAATCTCAATCTTCGTATATATACTCAAGTATATCAATATAGCCGATCAGCAAAAACCGCCCACAAGCAAATATACAAATATAATCATGGAATCGATTATGGAAATGAATAAATCACCATCATTCAGAAACAGTATGGAAGGAGAAGGACAAGAACAAGATATAGGACAGAAGTTTCCACGTGTAACTATACAATTTTGTACACAGTGTAAATGGATGTTGAGGGCGGCTTATGTATGTATATTTATATTTGAGTGTTTTGTGTTTTTGTATTTTTTGTTGTTGTTTATGGTGATTTTGAGCTTCTTGGGGGGTGGGGAGGGGGGATAGGGGCGGTTTGTTTAGTGGTGTATTCGAGGATATGGTGAGATTGGGTGGTTATGGTGGTTGGTTATAGTGACTATCTTATTGATTACTGGGAGAGGAAAGGAAAGAGGAAGAGGTTGATTTCATTTATGTTTTTCTTTGTTTTTATATGAGGAATGAGGAGCCCGAAGTTGAAGGGGCCTGGGTTGTCTTTATATGTTTGGGGGTTTGGGTGTAGGTGGTGAGATATACAAACTTTTAGTACAAGGTACTAACTATCATGGAAGTATCTTGAGTATTCTCCCAAGGAGTGGCTGGCTATTTTTATATCTACTCTATCTTTATATTGTGCTTGTTTGTCTTGTTATGCTAGTCATGCTAGCATATCATGTTAAAGAGGATAAGATGGGGAGAAGAATCTTGCAAGTTGCTTGATGAAGGTATTGGGTATTCCACATGGAAGAGGTGTCAATTTCGAAATGGATATGAAGTGGTTTGAATTGGGATGGAGTAGGATGGGTAGTACCCCTCTATGACTCTCCTGTTTCATTACTGGTAGATGTCATATCCTTGATGCTGTTTATTCTCTATAATCATATTTACTCCTATCATAACATGGAAACGATCAAATCAATATTACCGGCAGCAAGAGATGGATAAGGAGTCTGTTTCTATTTATTGATGAACCTTTTGCTTCCTCCTGGCTCAATACACTACGAAAGATAATGGGTAGTTTCCTCACCATCTACCTAGTTGTAGTGGTGGTAGATTGTTGAGGCTAGCTATCCTCATCACTGCTTATATGGTCTACTCATTTGAGTGCTAAGGACATGATGATCAGTTACTTTTCAAATTGATTGTCTGGATGTTTTATAATTCAATCTTCGAATTCTCTCTATTACATCCCTACCCTCCCCTTATCCCCTTACCCCCTCTTCCTTTCTACGTCCTAAGTTCTAAGTTCTATGTTCTATGTTCTATGTTCTATGTTCTACATGATACTTTCTACTTTCTCTACTTCTCCCCTAAGGAAGAGCACGTCCGATCACACAAAACAACCTCCTAAATTCTAACGATATCCCAATCAGTTTGCCCAAGAACTCCTCTCTACATTCGGAACCGATATTGGAGAAGTCGCACTTCAACCGAGTACCGGCGGTACTTTTATCGTCGATTTATTTACGGATGCAAATGCGAGTTTCGATGGAAAGGGATCAGGAGAAAAGGGGGTAAAAGTATTGAAACATACCCTTTGGAATCGGAAGAGTGAAGGAGGGTTTCCTGGTTAGTATTCTATTTTGCTTTCACATCCCCTCTTTTAAAGTACATTTCACTTTTCTATTATTAGATGAGAGAAAGAAGTTCTTGGAAGATGGCGATATCATGACTTAGTTTCCGGGGATGTTTGCGGAAATAGACGGATTACTAACTACAATATAAAACTAGAAACCAAAGAATTGAAGAAGAGAGTTAGGAATATTATTGATCCGTCCAGGGACTTGGGACATGTTGATGGGAAGAAATGTAGGTTTATGATCAGTCTCGCTATACTCCTGTTTTTGCCTTAGCCCGAGTCCACATCCACATCCACGTTTCTCCTTTATTGCCCACCTATCACTTCCCGTCACTTATACAGATGATTTTAACTCTCCCTAGCAACCAGCGCAACAACGATCCCATCTACTTCTAACCCAACAACTACAAACCCACCTCCAATTACAAACGCCATCTCCGCCCTCCAACCCCAACTTCAACCCCAACCCAACTCCGCAGAACGAAAAATCACACCCATGGATATCGTTACATCTACCTCTACCAGCAATACCCCAAATATCCCCAGTACATCGCAATCCCAGTCCCAGTCCCAATCCCAACCTGCTATCTCCAACGTCAACGAAGAAAAAGGAGAAGGAAAAGAAAAAGTGCAATTGAATGAAAGAGGCAAGATAGTTATAACAGGTGGAGAAGGCGAGGGAGGTTTTGGAGTCTGTAGACCTGGGGATGAGGAGTGTGGTGGGTTTTAGTTTTTTTCTTTGAGATAGGAGAGGAGAGGGATGAAGGATGAAGGATTGGTTTTTTTTTGTTTGGTTTGGTTTGGGGGATGAAGGAAAGAGAGCGTGATTAGGCGAGAAGAATCTTGATTCTTGAAGGGTGTCTAGAGTATAGAGACTGATGTCTGTATGTATATACGATGGGCATTTTACTAGAGAAAGAGGGGAATAGATTGAAGGTTATAGTATAGGATGATGGATATACAATTACTTAGTATAGTAACTTTTCAAGGAAATTATTAAATTCTCCCTTCTAGGTTCTAGTTCTAGATCGATCTCAACATCAATACCAGCAAATATATAATATAATACAACATATACCCTAAGATTGAAAAAATCCAAGTCTATAGGTATATCTATTCATCTATTCATCTATTCATCTATTCATCTACTCGTACATACTTTCCCCTTTCATTCATTCATTCATTCATTCATTCCTTTCCTTATCTCCCGAGTCAAGTAACTTAAATCCTGTTATATCCATCCCATCTACACTCTTCTCTCTTCTCTCTTCTCTCTTCTCTTCTCTTCTCTTCTCCTATTTTCATTCTATTCTCAAA